AAACCTGTAATCAGCTTTATGTCTGTGTGTGTGTTCATTGTGTGTATGTGTGTGTGTGTTCTGTGTGTGCATGTTTTAACGTTGCTGTATTCCTCAAGTGTCAATATTTCAGCATTATTACTCATTTGGCTCTCGTGTGTAACTGCAGCCATATAGTGGGACACAAAGCTCATATCCTCCTGGCCCAATTTAAAAATTCATTGAGTGTTACATTTCACCAGTGTTTTCTTTTATAAGTGGTTTGCATGCGTTCATAACAGGCTCAAATTGAAATATTTTAGTTATTATTGGATGAGACTCCTGTGCAGATTAGGATTTAAATCCGATATGTATTTATGATTTTAAAAGCAGGACTCTGCTCACCATGGAACCTCGAAAGTGTTTTTCTAAACTTACATAACCCTCCTCTCAGAAACACTGATACTTCTCAGAGCTCAAACAACATTTCACCGAGCTCAAAACTGAAGACAGAGTACAAACATTTTAGCCCCTGCCCTTCATGAGAGCACTATACACATATCTCTAACAGAATACTGAAAAAATCTATTAACCAATGGTTATATCTCTTGGTGAAAATGCTCATGTGTTTGGCAGATTGTCCTTCTCCTTGCAAGAAATTAAAACCATGCACGCAGTGTGCCACGGCCACTGACAGAAGGCGAAAGCAGCCATTATTATTGCAAACACTCAGGAGGTCCAGTTTTTTTTTTACATTTTCTGCAGCTATTTATATCTTAAATTGTAAGAGAGCCAAAAAATCCTGGTAATAAACACACTCAAACCACGATCCAAAATGTACAATTAAATCCAAACTCTCGGATAGCCTGCAAAACAGTCACGATGTGCAACAAAGTTAACATTTTGGGAGCTGCATCTTTTTTATGTTATACTTATTAATAAACATTAACAATGAAAAATGACAGCAAGTAAATCTATATGCACACATAAAAACCTTTAATACTTTTTGAAAGTGATTCAATATTTAGGTTCTGGCACTTTCATTATTTCCATCCTGCTGCTCCATACGACTCTACATGTGAGGCAGAAGGATGCTATTTAAACTTCTACATTTACAGCTCCTTTCTTTCAGATTGTGATTATATATGAATAAGTCAGACTTAGTCAGAAGTTTTAAAAGAACTGTCTCGTGTTTCATTTCACCAACTTGTCACAATGAGCTCCAAAAAGGTAACGGTTGAAAATGCTTAATACAAAAAAAAAAGATTAGATTAAGAATCTTAAAGCCTAATACAATTTTTGCTGCTGAGTCAGCTTTCTCCATCCCATAATAATTATATTTGGACCCTTCACATGCGGTAAGACCCTCAAGTTGAGCATCACTGCAGGGCCTAACAACTGAATGATACAAGGTAGTCCAAAGTGTTGTTTTTTTGTTTTTTGGACTACATTTTGTATCGTCAGAGATTAATGAAACAAGCACTGCATCGGGTAACTATCTCATGGCTGTCCTGGTCCTTGTCTATTTTGACTGGTTGTATTAGTTTTTAACAATCAGGTTCAAATAAAATCAGTGTTTTGGTCAGTTTAACCCACAGTATAAGAAAGAATTAGGCAGCTATAAACCTGCTTTTGTCCTAAGTTAAATATGACTTCTTTTTTCTTCCTGTAAACACAAGTCTAGGAATGAGCATCAGTCTAGTTGAGCCTATTTCCAGGTTCAGCCCTATAGCTGAGTGTTTGGAGCAATTAAAAAGAACATTTTGTGTCGCCTTAAGTCCCATTAAAGCATCACATGGCAACATTTAGCGTGAGCATCTGACAGAAATGAGCTTAATCTCATCAGATTGTGTAATCCAGGAGATAAAATCACTCTAATGGCTTAACACAGATAGAGCGGGTCATAAAGAGTTACAGCTGTGTACTTTTAACCATTTAACATATTCCTTAACCGCCAGTCTGACACGAGTACAGAAACACTATTGTTTCATTCATTTAAATGAGATTCCTGGACTGTTGTTGTTGCAGATGAATTATGTATGTGTTTCTGTGTTGATATGTAATAGACGTGCTCTCTCGGGGAATGTAGGACACGTACTCATGCATAACAATAGTCTTCAGTTCAATTCTCACCAACAAATTGGCCGTTTATCTCCCATGTTCTCCTCTTCATAAAAGAAACTATCTTCAGTTGATCTTTTTGTTTGTTTTATGCAGAAATCGGCTTCATATCCTCTTTACCAAACGGCCGTTGCTCTGCATTCACATGATTGCCCCACTGTTGCCCCAGTACTTTCACTAAATCCCCCCATGGAGGACAAAGTCAGACGCCTGTCAGTGACACTGTACAGCTGATCATAGCCTGTTAAAATGAGCTCTCGCCATTTGAAATGAACCGCATGTCTGCATGTTTTAAAGCAGGCCGCTTCTGTGTCCACACAATAACTGGTTATACTGCTTTGTACCAGTCCTGTTGTTTTTGTCTGACAGAAAAATCATCATCATCTATAAGCTGCTAAAACACTAGCTTTAAAATCAGATGTTACAATATTTACATAGAACCAGTCACATCTGAATCAGCTATAGTAATGTTACCTAAGTTTGGACTGAGGTGCAAAACAGATAAAGCTTTGCAGCCATGCTTCTATAAAATGCTTCTTGTGATTATATTTAACTGCTACTTTGAAAGATGTTACTAAAGAAGAAAAAGTGAATAGAATTTATTTTTTAACTCCCAAATAAGGCAATATCAGCAGTAACAAAAACAAAATGTAGCCTCTTTCTGATGTGTTGAAAGGGACGGAGAATGAAAAACAAATTAATGTTCACCATTAAGGACATCTAAAAAGCCATAAATAATCAAAGCCTGAAAAAAAAAAATAGATTTATAAAAACATTGACTTAATCTCCAGACTCAAAATATCTCTAGACTAATGTAGCCTACATTATTTTGTCAATAAATGGGCCATAATAATTCATAAAAAGATCACAAGATTGTCAATGTCCCATTAAAAAAAACTTTCCATGGAAAATAAAAACTCAAGCTTGCATCTGGATTTGGTTTATGCTTCTAAGGCTTAACATAAATATTTAAAAGGTTAAATGATTTAGGCTTAAACAATAATAAAATAGGTATACTATTTCAGTGTTTTCCTGTTAACATTATACTTTTAGTCCGCGGTAAATCTTGATTAAAGTTAAACAGTGAACAATGGAGGACGTGCCGCCCTCTCCAGCCTCCGCAGGCCGGTCGGACCTCCTCTCCTTCCGGCAGGAAACCCCTTGAATCCCCGGCCGGGGTGAAGTGGCTCCTCTCGGTGAAAACCTGCCTCAGGGCGCACGGCCGACAACATGTGTGGTGTCTTCCTTAGTCAAGAAGAAGCTTCCGAGAATCATTTTTTTTTTATTGTTGAACATCCTCAGTGCGATGAGAGGATTAATGAAGCGCGTCTGCCGGACCCATATGTCCCCTTTAGTGCTGCTGGTGCTTAATTATAACCGATTAACCGGATAGGCTACTCGGGGCCTCCTGCTGCAGGCACACCGACTTACTCTGTGCACAGATATTACTGGACCTGTTGAAGCTTTCAGTATCACTACGGGATCAAAATAAAAACAGCATAGTCTCATTTACTTGCACTACAAGTTACATGCGTATGACTGTTTATTCACAACAGACTTTGTCACAGTTTAAATTTAAGAGCTTAAATCTTTACGTGTAGATTTAGCCTACCCTAACTGTTTTTTTATTTTAAAGGTTTAGAAAGGGGCACCCCCCCCTTAAATTGCATTAAATTGATCATTTTAAAGGCATCAATAAGACTTACTTTTCATAAACTGTGGTTTTCTTTATTACATTGACCTTATTTTCAGTTTTATAGGCCTATATCTTTATTTGTCTAGTCATTTATTTGACTTAATAATTATATTTAGGTCAGGATGTAAGACACACTTTTAGCTCAAAAGTATTAAAGCTCGTGCCACTTCCAAATCCTTTTTCGTGATTTCTGAATTACCCGATTACAATCACCTTATTCTAAGTCATCCAAAGAAAATATGTATGGACTGAGTACAGGCTGTTGTGGTTTTTAACAAAGTGCACCCCGGACGGTGTTTGTGTCTACTTGTCTCTCAGTTATTGTGTGTCGTGCTAATTGGGGGTCAAATGGAAAACAAATCACTTAGCCTAAAAAACGGCAGCAAAAAGTCACAAAAGAGTTAAAGAAGCCTCTCGTGTCCTGTCAACTTGTAATTAGACATATAGCGCGAGCCCCTCCTCCTCCTCCTCTTCTTCTTCGTCCTTAATCATGCGCGAGCCCCTGAACCTGCTCACGCTTAAACTAAAACTCTGCAACAGATGTCTAGGCCTATGAATTTATTTTAATCAAGTTATTAGCAGAAAAAACTATTTTATGATGAATAAAATACATATAAACTAGTGATTTTGTTAATTTCTATCACATGACATTTAGCCAGGCTACTTGAGTATTTCTAGTGATTCTGAAGACGACAAAGTTCAAATGTAGCCAGATTTTCTGCTTGCATCACAAACTGACAAAAATATATATATTTTAGCATCCTTTAATTCCACTTCACTGTCAGGTGTATTTTTTCTTCATTATGTATTTATATTGGCATGTGGACTCATGGGCAGAAGAACTAATTTCTCTTCTCTGCATGTGAACTGAGCAGCGCTGCACCCTCAACCAGCGAGCAGCCATCAGTACAAATGTTGGATTATCCTCTTTACGAGCCTGGATTAACATAGCTCGAACATTACTCACATTCCTCACAGTCTGGACAGAAATCATGGACTCTGGTGATGTCTGCCCAGGCTGTGAGGAACATCTGGTGATGTAGAAATAAAAAGTCTGGGGAGATTCTCATGACATTTGGTGGCGCTGCAATGGGTGGAGTTTGGCACTATCTACATGGACTTTTAATATAAACTTGATATAAATTAACAACAAATAAATAAATAGGTCATACAAAAGTGAAAGAAACAAAGAAGATAAAAATGGATTTACACTTAAGTCACAGTGTTGGGTCAGGTCAAGTGGTCTTTATTGTCATTTAGTGTGTTTGTGGCCTTTTCACAGCACATTACAGCTCAAATTAACCAGAGGTTATTTGCTTCTCATTCAACCTGCACTCCCTATTGAATTCAACTAATATGTCCGTTTAATAATTTATTTATTTAACACTCAAGATATGGAAATGAATCAATCAAATTCACAGCTGGGTTTTTGTGTCAAACTTGCATACAAAGAATCACAATATTCAAAGAAAAAAAGAAATCTAACACATGGGGAAATAATTCAAAAACACATAAAAGGACATGAGCACACGCAAACGGACTGATTGTCTCTTATTACTAAACATATTTCTTATAAATTAATAGTGCATCCAGGTTCATATCAGAGCTGCTTTCATTCTCTCACACACACACACACACACACACACACCCTCTCCACAACACACATGCTTTGATCAAAGGGGCCCTTCAGCGTGCCAACAAAATAAAAAAAAGACAAGAGAGAGGGGAGTCTTTAAGGAGCTTAGAGAAGAAAACCTGACCTACTCCTCAAACTCAACCCAAGTTAGACTCTTTTGATCCTTTTCTCTTTTTGGTCAGCACATTTGTTCCGTGTCCTTGATCAAAGATCGAGAGAATCAGTCAGTAGGCTATGTTCAATAAATTAACCCAACAAGTGAGACCTGCAGTCCTGGAGGTAGAAGTTGGGGGCCTTTATACTTGTCGCGCCCAACTTTAGGGTTGAATTCGCCTGTAAAGTCTGCTTTTTTTGTAGAAATTGTCCCTTTTTTTCTCTCCTCTCACAACACTTGAAACTTCCACGCTGACTGGTCTTTGTAATCCAAACAGTCTGCGTTGAAATTGAGCTTCCACGATGATGTTTGGTCCTTATAGTCCAGGCAGTCCGCTGCTCCAGTGAAGCCCAGACCTGCCGCTCCGTACGCCGACGTGGAGAGCGAGGACGCCGGGCTCAGGTGGCTGGACACCCCGCTGCCGCCCATGGGGCTCATGGAGGAGCCCGCGGCGGAGAGCTGGTGGTGCATCGGCGAGAGGTAGGAGCCGCAGTCCATCCCAGTGAAGTAGGACGAGGAGCCCGTGTAGCCCTGGTTGTAGCCCGATGCCTGGGTGTAGGTCATGGGGTAGGAGCGCTGCATGCACGAGGAGGAGGAGGAGGTGGACAGAGGGTCCGAGAGAGGGGAGATGGAGGCCGGGCTCCAGATTGACACCGGCGCTGCGCTGCTGCTCACAGCCGGGAGAGGTGTGCTCGAGGGCGGCGTGAACTGGCCACTGGCTCCGCTTTCTGAGCTGACCTCTCGGACTGGAGAGCATTTCTTCTTCACCGGTTTGCTGACAACTTTGTTCTGAACTCCACTTTGAGTTTGCTGGGCCTGCTGCCGGTGTTTGGCTCGTCGGTTTTTAAACCAAACCTGCAAGGAAAAAGCGTTTGAATTAGGCTGCTTCAATGTCAGTAGGGATAATATGGATGTGGGGATGTTGAATTGATTATTTCTTAAATTAAAGGGACTCCAAACCCCCCTGCAGTGTTAAGGTGAATTAAGCCTATGTTATGTGAGCAAGTCAATGCAATAATCTATAGGCTATATCTCAGAAATGTATTGGCTATATCATTTAGAGATTTTTAATAATATCAAATAGTCTATTTTTAGTCGTGTTTAATATTAATATAATGTTTTAAATAGAAAAGTGGGATACTTGAAAAGTGTTTTTTAAGTATCCCCAATGGCAATCAGTCACCGAGGGAACATCCCCTCAAGCATTTCTCTCACAATGAAGACGACACTTTACAGTTATTGGTCGTCTGTGAAAAGAAGACATTGTTGTTTTGATTTATTTTGTGACTGACCTGCACGCGGGACTCGGGCAGGTTGATCTTTAAGGCCACCTCCTCTCTCATGAAGATGTCAGGGTACCGGGTCTTTCCGAACAGGTTCTCCAGCACGTCGAGCTGAGCCCGCGTAAAGGTTGTCCTCTCTCTCCTCTGTTTGCGAGGGGTGCCTGAAAATAATTGAGTACAAATGGTCATTAAAACATTAAAACAAGTAGCATTTTAATAAACGAACTTCTGAAACACATATCTGGATAAGAGTCGAATCTAGAATATAGCACCCTAGTTTTTATTTTCTGTGGCTAAATGAAAGGGTATATTTTTCATCTTCATCTACACAGACTGAAGTGTTTAAAATGAGAAATGTAAATTATGTATCGAGGCTTTGTTTATTATCGTGTTGTAAAATTAAAAAAAAGCTACTAATTCTGGATCATACTACGCACAAAATATCCGAACATATCTGTATCGTTTTCCTTAAAAAATGGGTGTCCCCTATGGTTCATTACCTTGGTATCCCACAGAGGGATGCAGCAGGTCCACTCCTGAAGCAGATAAGCTCAGTCCGTTTACCGTGTACGGCGGCTGTTTCAGATAGGACATCATGTTGGCGTTCGGGCGAAGGGATACCACTTTGGGGAGAAAAATCGAAAAATGTGGCAAAAAGTATGTATTTAAATCCTCTCGCGTCTCTGTTTGGCTTTTTTCACGTCGTCCAGACGCACCTGCAGCAGGACATAAAACAGGATGCTTGTTTAGTTTCGTCTGTGTGAGCTGGTTTTACGCACGGCGGCGGGTTTGGAGAAGTGGGCGTCCTCGGAGTCGCGCGGCTCTTAAAGCTGAGTGGAGACCCCCAGCTGTCCCTGCTGGACTGAGGATGCTCTGTCTGGCTGACTGGCGTTTACGCCATCACCCCCCACCACCACACACACACACACACCAACCGATACTATAACCCCGCCCCCTACCACTAACACCCCCTCCCCAAGCACACTCCTCTCCTAGTAGCACCAAAACAAAACATTGTCGTTAAAATGCGCACACTCGTGGGCCCCTACCGGGCTCTCAATTAGCATATACCCACAGGTTAGGCGAAGCTAAATAGACAGCTGATTGGGGGGCCATTTGCAGAAACAAAGCCCACTGTTGACCGATAAGTAATGCTGATAACAAAAGAGTTAAGGGCGCAAACAAAGAGGCCAATACTGCAAACTGAGCGCGCATTCACATACAACTCAGCATCTTCATTTCTATAACTTCAGCCTATTGTTGGTTTCCTCTAAAACCCTTGTACATTCAAATGTAACGACATTAAAATACGAAGGACAACTTCAACAAATAATTCGAGACATGGAGGTGTGGGTTGGGTATATTTCTGACACTCCTCGGGGTGATTCTCCCCTCCTCCGCTAATGAATCGCTCCCGGTAATTAGATTTGGAAGGTGAGACTATCGAAAAGTGTTGATTAGAGGAAAAACACTTCATCGTAATCTAAACAAACAAAGAGATGGACCACTACAGTTATCTACAATTATCTACATGCTGCTGGGGAAATACAGTTCGAGAAAAAACGCTTTCTTTTTACTCTCATAGTCTACTTTCAAAATTAGATTTAAATAAGGGAAAGCTCAAATGTATGGGAACGAGATCTGTTAACGACATTAGTGTTTAGTTAGACAAAGCTTAACAAAAAAAAAAAAAGACAATCACAAAACAAGAAAAAATGCCTTAATATTATTAACAAGGTAGACACAAAAAGTCTGTTTTTATATCCTTATCATATAAATATATAAAGTTGAACATTCATGAATAATTCGTCACACAATAATATTCTTGGAATATCATGAACCATGTTTTTTCTTTGGATAAGACATTTTTATTTGGAACATCTGAAATAATTTGTCTATTAGAATTGCAACCAAAATGCATGTAAATATTGTCAAATATGCTATTAAATAAATTGTACACGTTTTTCTCTAAAGAACACGCACAGTGTCAGGACTAGAAACCAATAAAAGAGAAAATACTGGATTCAAGCAATAAAATAATCCAGCGTTTATTAGGCCATATTATAACCTATTTCCTTTTTAAAAAATAATAGCTAATTACTATGTATCCCATATGCTGCTGTCTGAGGCCTCTCGTAACGTTTCCAGTGACACCTACCTGTAGCATAAAGTTCCCAGGACCCCGGGGTGCTCCCCTCTTTCTGGTTCTTATACAGCCAATAACGGCCACTCCACGATACTCAATCTGTCACTTTTTTTTCCACCCCGAGCTACCGGTCGCTCCACATCCGTTCAATACTAATAAAAAACCTCCCATGCAGCCATTAATTATGATCGGCTACATGAGTTTATTTTTTTTCTTTCTGTAAGAAATTAACGAGATAATCCGGACGGCACGCGCTGGCCTGATTACAGGACGCCAGCCACGACTCCGCATTCAGGCCTCCGCAATTTTCTGCGTCACGAAAATAAAACAAAGCCTGGCATTGTATTTATCAAACCAGCTGACTGCCAGACACCCCCCACCCCCGAACCCCCCCAAAACACAGACCAACCAAACCTGACACTCACTTTCCCAAACTGACATATTTATCAACTAACTAAACTATTATTATTACACATTGTTAAAAAGTTTAAGTATTAAGTCCGTTGATCTCCTGTGTGTTATTATTGTATCTTTAATTCTAAGCCATATATATATATTGATATTGATATTGATATTGATATTGATATAATGAATTGTAGGCTAAACAATAAATATGAAACTATATTTTAAAAACAAAAAAACAAGAATAAAATCTCTTTAAAAAAATAAAATGCCTCACTCGTATTTACAGTGAACAAAGGGGAACCTTTATTGCAAATTAAATAGAAGCTGTGATCCACGATTTAAAAAAAAAGAATCATTTACAACCAATTACATGTTGTCTTTGTGTATTTCCCCTCCATTCTCTTCATGCTTGAATACAAACGGAGTGTGTAGTCAAACAGCAGCAGTTGCAGAGTATTATCTGAAGTTGTGGGCTGCTATTAATCGCTTGAATGCCTCTTCGCTGCAGATGACAGAGGCGCGAGGCAGAAAAGTTTCCGCCTCCCCAATTACCTCCCTGCAGGCTCAACGTGAACCTGACTGCTTCCAAAATGCTACACTGTGTAATATTCCTCTCAGTAACTTTGATAACATCTGTCTGCTTAAGGAGAAAAACAATTAGGCTACTTACCTCGTTTTTTTTCGACGCTTGTAATTTAATAAAAGTGTCTTTCTCTCTTAAATGCAGATTTATGTTTTTCTGTGGCTGTGGTTAGTTTCCTCCCGTTAAGTTCGTTGGATGCGGATAATACAGCGAGATGCTCAGTATTTATGGAGAGAGAGGGGGGAGAGAGTGAGAGAGGAATTTTTGCAGCCAATGGAAATGAGAGAAAAAAACTATGATGTGCAGAGGTGTGAGGGGATGCATCAGCTGGAGAAAAGTGGAATTGTGGAGGCAACATCAACCCAGAAGCCCCCCTGAATCCCCAATAGCTCTAAACCATGTCTTAACAATGACATTATTATATAAAAATAACCAAAAATATTTACCTCATGATCAACATTAATTTGTAGCTACAGTACATTTACATTTTCCGGTTTAAAGATAGTTACAGGTCTAATGCATTGATCCAAAGCAAGCCAAGCACCTGGGCTGGCTAAATGATGATCAGATCATTTTGATAAATAACATTGCAGTCCTAGCACTTATTATAAGAACTGTAGCTCCCATCAGATTAAAAATATAAAAGCTGAGCAAGCAAAACTGAAGCATTTTTTTTGTAGCGAGAAGTGGGGAAAAAAAAAAAAAAAACTTCTTTGGGATTTGTCACGGTTTGATTCTGTGTAACCCTGTAAAGGAGATTTAAGGAGAGGGGGAGATGGTTGCCCAGGAAGCTACACCCCCACAACACTTTCTCAGATCTCCTTTTTTTAAGAAAACCACAACAAAGTAACATTTTCTGGGTTAAACTACTTGAACAAAAATCTTTGGGTTGGATAATCAATAAAGCCATTTCTTGTGCTTATAGCCTCCTCTCTTTGTACAGGATTGAAAAGCTAAATATCCAAATCCAGTATTTAATGCAATGTTGTAAACATAGCTTCACTCCATTTTGACCAACCTGCCCTGAGCAGTCCAGACTGGAGGCTGTTGTTGATGCTCCCAAACAAGCAGCAGGTTAGCAAGTGATGAACAGACTGCTACAAAAAAACCTGCTGGAGAGAATCCTTGATAAATGTTTAAAATGTAGTTCAATGACAAAGTCAGTGGTGCCAACAGGAAACCAAACATTTGGTGGGGGGGATGTAATTATTATGGCTTCATGTTGGTCATTATTGGCCGAGTTGTTCTGTTTAAGTGTATTTTCCCTCAGAGATTCTCTAAAACAAACAGCCTAACTGATCTGGTCCCTTGTTGTTCTTGGCTCCCGCAGAGCTCTTTCATCTCAAGCTCTGATTCATAATTCATCAGAAAATATCTGACAGCCCGGGGGAGCGTTTGAGCTAAACGGGCTGCTGGTTGTAAAAAGGTGAAGTCTCTTGTTAATGTCTGTGGCAATCTGCCCTCCTCCTGTCTGCGGGCAGATTGAAGGAGTCACGCTTTTCTCCTGCTGCTGCAGGGAGACGAATTGAAGGCTAAGAATCGTGGGACTGAGATATAACACTCTGTCACTGTGTGTGTGATAGTACAGGCTGGCAGGAGGAAGAGTGATTTGCGTCCTCCTCCTCCTGCAGCCCTTTGTTAGCCTAATGTACAACTGGTTAGTATGAATGTAGACGAGACATTATTGCTAAAAAGAGCACTTGGTGACTAACATGGTTTTATTAATTAGATCAGCTGTTATTAAAAAAATCACATTTGTTTTCCTTGTTTTATGTTGAATCTCTTTCTGTATGTAGTGTAAATCACAAGTTTTAACAATAAGACATAATGTTGACTCTTTGGACAACAATATGATAAATGCTGATATCACAGAGACAGCTGTAATAATACCTTTCTTCTTGATTCAATTCATAAACCTTGATAAAATATGTCAATAATCAAAAATCAGGAACATTTACGACATGAAAACAACTCAAATATGATTTGAGGCTTTTTCAATTACCTTAGACATATTTAATAAAAAAAGGCTGCAATGGCTGCCTGCGAGTCGCTCAGATTACACGTGGCGATGATTTTGAGTCATTGAGCATTACAATAAACAGCAGTCCTTTTATCATTACACTCTTTGTACATGAGTGATGTGAAGCCAATCAGATTACGCTTCTTGTATGAGTACACACTGTCTTTCTATCCATCCATAATATTTTATCCTCAATTTTTTTTATAATTTCAATTCAGATTTCCAACTCAAGGTCAAATCAATGTCTTGGCCCACTCAGCCCCATCTGTTACACACACACACACACACACACACACACAGGGCACAGGACTCGTTTGGAGATTGGAAATGCTTGATTTTTGCCATCTGCACACTCACGTTGATAGATTTATTGATAGGTTTGTTGTTTGTGCAACAAACTGAAGGGAGCGTCCATGGATGTTGAACTACAGTATTATCAGAAGAGTCTGCATGAGTTTTAGACAGCAGGTGTTTTTCTGAGGAAATCAACACAGATTAGGCTATTTCTTTTCTAAGAGTTACATGTATTTTTAGGCACCTTAAGTCACTATGGCAGTTCAGTTTATCCAAATATTATCCAAATATTATCCAAATATCAGTGTGCCAGATAAAAAGAGTAGGAGCTGTCATTTTCGTGGATTTAGCTAAAGTGTGTAAAAAAACAACAACAGTATTGTGATGAAGCACTGAACATCTACAGACCTTATTTAATTTGGCTAATTTGACATTTTTCTGAATTTTATGTTTTTTTAATGAAGCTTGAATACAAAAAAACCTTCTCCAATAATCCTGAATCATATTGCAATCAGAATTTCCATGAACATAATCCCACAATGACTTTTTTCCCATATCAAGTACCTGATACCCCTCACAACATGTCTGTGAAAATTAGGTATTATATTGGCTTTATGATGTCAGGAGTAGTGGGAGGGCTCTATGGCTGTATAAGGGACTCCTTTAAATCACAGTATTTTGCCTGTAAGGTGGTTTTCAAATGGTCAGCGTCAGTGAGTGTGTCTGATGCACCTTGCATTGAGTGGTCTTGTCAATTTTATCTTAGCAAGCAAAACCAACTGCAATCTAACTTGCCTCTGCTTTGCGTTGGCGCCTCGCTCACCCTGTCATGGTTCCATTCAAATATAACGACCTGCTCACTCTACATATTCCTTTGTGTGTAATTTTATTGCTGGAAAAGCTGCAACTGTAACTACACTGCCTGCAGATTTTTAAGTGACCGTCGACACACTTTCAGGTTGTTTAGTTTTCTTTTGACAAACTGTCAAAGTTTGGTCGAGTTCAGGCAACAAAGCATGTTTGGGTAAAATCAATGTTTGTGGCTGTGGAAAAAGGTCTGTTCCAAAATGATACCTCTGTGTTTTATTTTAGTTTCACAGATTACACAGCAGACTCATCTGTGAAGACAAACAACTTCACTGTGGCAGTCATAGAAATTGCCTTGGCATGCGTTGCTTCATCCTGCAAAGCCAACCTGAGGAAACACAACATTTGAAAGGAGTCCAAGACAAGTTGGAGAACTACAGTTGCTGGTGTAAGCTAAATTATATACTTGCTCCCTTCTAGTATGTTTTTCTCGCAGTTACTATCAAATAATAAAATTCACAGCTTTTATGTGATGTCACAGTTTATGGGACGTCACAAAGGCCGCTGTTCACTTCTGAGAAGTTATTGGTCTCAGTTGACGCCTACGTGATTTTTTTAACAGTTTTTATTTTAACATTTTTCAGATGAAAGAGAGTTGTTGCTGAATGTGACGCACTAACCGGTGAGGAGACGAGCCCGGTTGTTCTTCTACAGAATGTAATCTGAGAAAGAGAACCCAGAGAGGAGGAGATTGAGGATTAATGCTGTTAGATGATCTACTGTCCCTGTGAAGGTACAAAAGAATAGACTTCATAAAATATTGTGTTAATCTTATCCAAAATAGTCCTAACTACCGCAGAACACTGAGTGACAGTGAGAGCTGACAGGGCCATCAAACGGTTTGTACTTTTGTAGACTTTTATCCTACAGTGGTTGAAGGAGAGGGATTCTCCTTTAAATGCAGGGGTCGCAACTGGCCAAAACTCACAGTTTATCTTAATATCTCTGTTTTACTTCGGTTGTCAGGTGATGGAAAATGAAGAAGCCTCTGCTGCAGTTCTACAGTGTTTTCAATGGCAGCTGCTGCTTATCTTAGCTCTTGTTGTACTCCAGCCCCCCCCCCCCCCCAGGCAACAAAATTCTCTTTGAGCAAGCTAGGTCCCTCGTGAAACTAAGTTATTCTTGATACCAAACTGTATATTGACCCCCAGTTTCTGTCTCTCTATCATCTTAATGTCTTTCTGTAAGGTTCAGATAAAGAGAGTTGTTGGAGTCATCCATCCCAGCACAGTCAAGCTGACAGTGGACAAACATAGAAACTTGTGCGTTACAGTCAAAGCTGAACTGGATGCAAAACTTTTCCTCGGATAAACTAAATTCAGTCTCTCGAGTAACTCTATTGATTGATCTCATCCAACTGGGTTATTACATTTTCCAAAAGTAAACCCTTTTGTGACCTCAACCCTGACATCTGGTCAGCTGAGAGACTCTTTGCTAATACAACAACTTAGTGGAGATTTTTTCCTGGATAGCTGAGGGTGATTTTTCATATTACACCTGCAGAAAAGTTTCCTTTAAATCCCCTTTGCCCCCTCCACAGCCAGCCTCCATCAAAACAAATTCATGCCCTTCATTGAGATACCTCCACCACTTGTGCTTTGCCCAGGGGAGGGCTGAATGTCTTGTCCCTGCTGGTACCTCGTTAACCTCCCGCGGCCTGCGGCTAGTGTTAGCCAAACTGTGAAGCCTCTTACCTGGGTATTGGTCAGCAGGGACTGGCCCCAGGGAGCCCTGGACCCCCCATCAGGCAAGGGGAGGGAGGCAGGCGGGACAGAGGAGGGCCAAACAAAAACACAACCTGGCATCCCCACGGCAAACAGCCCACCTACTGACAGCAGGCATCTGGGGCACAACACACAGTAACTCTATTCACATTCTGATGAGGGCAAATACTAAGCAGCAGTAGCACACACACACACACACACACACACACACACACACACAAACACACTGGTGCAGGAGGCAGGGCTAAAATACAATAAAATATCATATTG